AGGATTTTTACGAGAACTGGGTCATCGTAGCAATTGGGCTAATTATCTAGGCATACTTATCCTTATTGTTTTGGTATTAGTAGTCTTTTATTATTATTGTCTTTTTATTAGTAGTTTTCTTGTCTAAGTAGGATTTGGTTATGTTAGTAGCTTTCTTATAGGAATAGGAGTCATGTTCTAGATAAGAAAAGGTAGAGGCTTCTATACCTATAAATATGTACTAGTTTTCTGTTTAATGTCATGAGAAGGTTAGAACCCAATTTAGTCTGTTGTTTTGTTATTTCTTAGGAGTAGTTGTAAGCTAAATTGGGGTTGATCTGGCCATTAAGGAGGTCCTCTACTCGAGAGCGTTCAAGAAATGTATCCAAAAGGTTCGCGTGCATGGGTTCATCAGAAATCTACGTAAAATGGAAAAAAGACATTATTATGATATTTTTAAAAATGGACTATTATTATAAAAAAACTATAAGGGTAATTACTAAACTATTTATTAGGCAAACCTATTTCAGGTTCTTTTATATTAATCAAACCTATCGAAATACTAAGAATTAGCCAAATGTTAACTTTCAGTTAACAATTTGGTAGTAATATTGACTTGGCAACATGATACTGACTTGGAAGAGACACATGAAGGTCAACATTGTAAAGTTTTAGTATTTTAACTAGAAAAAGAGTACAAAATTATTAGGGTTAATACTTAATATATTTGTATGGCCCGAACTTTTCACATATTGAACATCCTGACCAATCTTTTCGATCTATAACTTCGTGACCTCAACTATGCATCAAAATTATTAAATTGGCCAAACCCGAAGTTTGACCGTTAACTTGGACGGTCAAACGTGTTGACTAACGGTCAATGCGCCATGTCAATGCCAAATACACATAAAAATACTTAAAATATTTGAAAATTCCACATAATCTCCAATTTTGAATTATTATAAATAAAAAATAATTATTGCAATTAAACTGAAAATAAATAAAACAAAAAAAATATTTTCCCCAAACCACACCACCACCGTTCCCAATTCTTACCTCCCTCAATTCCACCGTGCCAGAAAAATCAACTCCAACAAATATCAATTGACGCATGAATCTTAAATCTAACTCTGGCCTCATCCCATAGGGAGCTCTTAAAGTAGAACCAGAACCCATCGATAGAAAAAACCGACGGACGGAGACAGGGCTAGGCACCAATTCGCCTACTGTTGTAGTTGTTGCGGCTTGTCCATGAGGAGGAAGAAACGAAGAGTTGAGCCTGCCGACGAATCACACCGACTTCAGGGAGGGAGTCGCCGCAAACCTCAACGAGATTGTCGTAAGCAAGCCGTTACAATGTAGTCCTCACATAATAAAACGTCAGCCGTGAGCTCTTCCGAGCTCACCGTGGATTAGTCCTGTTCACGTCGAACAGGGATACCACGTAAAACTCTTGTGTTCTGTGTTCGTTTCAATTCCTCATCATCAAATTCTGCTTAGTATCAGAGCGAAACTCGATCCCTTGTCTAGGGTTTTGAGCTTCCGCAGTCGGTCTCCATTGTTTCTCCCGTAATCATCAATCGTCAATTGTCGCGTCGCCAAGACGAAGTCTCGATCCACCACTAGTTAAGTAAGTAGTCCCGCCGACCAAGACGAAGTCCAGTCTGCCGTGGGTTATCAGTCGCCAATCAAGGTCAGCCGAAAAAGAAACAGCCAATGTGCCGGTCCACCTTCGTGCAACGCCGGTTCTCCAGTTCAACAGCAAGTCCGGCTGCCCCCGACGTCGCGAACCCGCCGTCTCGTCACCGGTCGTCGTCGTCATCTACCGCCATCGCCCATCAGTGTCTGCGGACTCCTCATAGCCGCCGCCCATGTCAGCGACTGCAGCGTCTTCGTCGTTGAAAGCCCTCACCTGTAGCTGCTCCAACTTCATCGACGGCTCGTCACAAGCCGACCCTTTGCTCCCAGTCGCAGTCATCGTAACAATCGGGAAAGAGAGATCAGAGCAAAACTCGATCCGAGTTAGGGTTAGATTGGATTTTGCCTACCCTCTCCGCTGCTAGTGTTTTGTCTTGTCGTTCGTCACCATGTTCGACGAACCAGCAGTCTCTACAGTCAATAGACGTGGTTGCCTTGCTTTGGCGCTCTGTCCCCGTTCGCCAGTCTCCTCCACCAGTCCGATTCAAATCTCCCAAGGTCATTGTATGCTTGGCCTATAGACAAGTCGTCTAATCTTTGCGGCTATTGGGTTAACTGATCAATAGCGGCCGGGTCGTCTTCGTCAATCGCCCGCAATAATGTCGCCGCCAGGTCTGACGCAACTTCTCATCAGTAAGTTGGCGTTCATGGCGAATCATCAGCAGATGCCACTAATCCCTCTGCTGCTCGGCAAGTTGCCGTTCATGGCGAATCATCAGGTCCGAGCTTTTCGCTCCGACGTCTCGTCCATCGTAGTCAACAAGAAGGTCATGCGATCCCCTGTAATCTAACTACAAAAGATTGTCCATCACAGCCAGCAAGTCTTTGCGTCAACCATTGGCCGCCACTGCCTCTCATAGGCTACCAACATCGTGGTAGTCGTCTTCCGAAGGTCATTATGTCTCTGCCAAAGTCGAATTCAATCAGTGGTCGCCAAAGGTCAGACCTCCATCACTTCTGTGAGATGGGTAGTGCCTACTACTAGTCCAATTACCTTTGCCAAATTCACATTGGGGCTTTCACTATTTTCCATGCATCATATTGTTGGGAGCCGTCCTCAAAGGGTTGAATAATTTCTTTCAATGGAATTTCCCCAAACTATGATTTGGCTCTTCGTCCAATATGATCAGTCTAGTCATCATGTTTGGATCGCTTGCATAGTTGTCAATCAAAGCACACGTCGTCGGAAGCCACCAGCCGTTCAATCCAATATGTTCGGAATCAGTTCTGTTTGCGTGGAGCATTAGGTTGCTTTTGGCTTCATGTTCAAGATGTTTGGACGTATTGGCAGCATGCACTACGATGATCAAATCGACAGCAGGAATCAAGTGGCTACTATTCTCAGCTGTAGTTTTATCTCACGACATGCCATGCAGCCGGTTCCGTCGTCGTGAGTCATGAAGGTAGTGTTGGGAGATAGTACAACTTTCGTCAACAAAAATTGTCAAGTCATAAAACGAGGCAGTCACGATCCCAGTAGCGATCGTCCCCTCAGCATTCAGCATCGATCAATATTGAGTCATCACCATTCTAACTTTCAAGCTGGGCATTCACATCATTCATGCGCCAGCTTGAGGGGGGAATAGGGAATCATCACACGTAGGTCGACTAGTTCAGTCATCAAGTCGACCACGTCTATCGATCAGTCAGGTTGCTCGGAGAAGCACAATCAGCAGTGCAGTTAGAAGTCTCCAAATTCAGCAACCCAGTCATCAGTCTCCAGTTTCATCCAAGACGTCAAGGTAATTCCGCCATGTGGAGTTCACTTTTGTTGAACTAGGTCAAGCATGAAGTCGGATCAGTCTCATCCAAGACGTCAAGGAATTTCACCATGTTGAGTTCACTGTCAAAAGAACTGGGTCAAGCATGGAGTAGTTTCATCATTTGTCTTCATCTCCCGCAAGCGAACAAAGTCACAGCCTGTTGGATCGTCATTGCCAGCAAGAGGTTGTTTGAGTGTTGTTCAGTTTCAAGCTCGACATTCTTGTCATTCATGTCTTCGCTTGAGGGGGAGTGTTGAGGATATTAATTACTTAGTCAAAAAGTAATTAATTCCTTGTCCTACAAGTTCCTAGTTTTCCTTGTTCAAGTAAAAGAAGGAAACTTGGTTGTCATTAGGGTTTTAACCCTACGTCTATCTCTATATAAGCTTAGCTACGAGATTGTCGTAAGCAAGCCGTTACAATGTAGTCTCATAATAAAATCGTCAGCCGTGAGCTCGTTCCGAGCTCACCATGGATTAGTCTCGATCAATCAATCGATCGAGGATACCACGTAAAATCCCTTGTCTCGTGTTATTCCAATTCCGCGTCATCAAATTCTTCAAAGCGGGTGGAGTCGGGGCCATAAGATTCAAAGGGTTGGACGTTGATATCGTTCTCTTCTCCTTCCAGCGGAAGATCCAAAGATTCGGTGATAAGGGGGAGAAGAGGAAGGAGATGAAAAGTTAAAACAACCCTATTAGTCGTTGTTGTTGGTGGGAGAACGGTATGTAGCGGGCAAAAGCTAGTATTGGGCCACCGAATATGGTGGATTTGGGATTTTGGGGTTTAGTTGAACGAGGAAGAAGGAGAACATAATGCAGATGAGGAGGGGAGGACATGGACGATCCCTTTCATTAACCGTACAATTTCTTTTTAATTTTCTTTTCCTTTTGTTGAGAATAAGAAAAATAAATGGTAATAGGTGGAAAAAAATGAAAAATTTTAAGTTAGTTTGTGTTGATTTGGCAGGGACATGACGCGTTGACCAATAGTCAACATGCTTGACCGTCCAAGATAACAGTCAAACATCGGGTTTGGCCAATGTCGTTACTTTGATGTATAGTTTGAGCCAAGATGTTATAGATCGAAAAGATGACCATGATGTTTATTATGGTCAAAGTTCAGGCCATACAAATATATTAACCCAAATTATTAATGATAACATAAAATGGCTAGTATTTTGATACATTACGAAAATTTTGACTAATTAATAACATTTTGGTAAATTTGATAATATAAAATAATCTGAAAAAGATTTAGATATAGAATAGACATTAGTCATTACCCATCTATAACTATATATAAGTCTATTTTATCTTTTTCATTAAGTTTTTCTTAGTGAAGTGATTGGCTAACTAGTCCCACTTATCGTCCAGGTGTAATGACAAGCGACCATAACAGATCACAACCCTACTGTTTGTTTTTTCCCGAGTTCATATTGGTTGAATTCAATTATTTTGTTTTTGTTTAGTTGAATGTTAAATTCAATTTCTTTTTTGGAATAATAAAGAATTTTTGTGGTTTTTTTTTCTTTCCCCGAGAGTACGAGTACCGGTGGACGGGTGGAGAGAGGTGGGTTGAAAATACAAGGAAATGTAAGGAATCATGGAGAGAGATGTGAGTGAAGTCTCTTTTCAGGTAGCCGACAACTCCAACTCTCTGCCTCTCCTCTCTCTCTCTCTCTCTCTCTCTCTCTCCCCGTCTCTTCTTCCTTCCTAACAACCGCATTGCTCTCTGCACATGCGCCACTCGCCTCTCCAGTCCAGCTCACCACACCCCGCAACAAATCATTCATTCCGTTCGAGATCAAAGCCCTCGCCGAGGAAACCCGCCCCCAGCTGGATCCGACCCGTTTCCTCTTCTTCTTCTTGCCCTTCCTCTGTATTTTTTTCTCTCTCCGCCTCGTGCTTCCTGTTGGGTCCTTTTCAGCAGCTATTGGCTGTTGCGCTGCATATACCATCTTCCCAGGCCGCCCCCGTTGCTTCAGTTATTAGAGACCCTTTTCCTCTTTCCTTTTCCCTTTTCCGGATTCACAAAATACGACCTTTACCCCTCTTTGCCCGTTTTCTCTACCCGGGGAGCGGGCTGGTTCATAGCGAAATGGAACTTGTTGCTGTGTCATTTTCGGCTGGGGGTATTTGATTGGAGGAGAGTTGAGCTGGAAGGAACTCGGTTACCCCATCTTTTCAGCTTGTCCACAGTCTGCGGTTTCGCTGGCCAAGTTTAGGGCCCGCGGCTGAAGGAGGCTTCAGCGGAGCAGGTTGGTTGGAGTCATGCTTTTCCTTTACGTTGAAATCTGCATTTGTGGGTTCTTTGCTTTGCTTTCATTGAGTGTGGTTGCGCGGAAAGGAGAAAGCTTTTGTGTTTCGTGGAGAGGAAGTGTCAGCGGGGATTAACAACTGGGTTTGAAGGAATACCCTTGAGGACTGCAACGTATGATGCTGATTGCTTTCCTGACCAATGATGCCATCTATTGGGTTTTGCTGCTTTTTCAGAATACATGTGCTATGAGCCCTTAATGATCATCAATCCTCGTTATTTGGGTTAGGGTTGAGATTTTAGGTCAAGATGGGTGTATGGTATTTGTATTATTAGAAGGGTGAAGCAAGTTTTTTTTAGTAGTCCTCTATAAGCTACATGCTCTAATAGGCTTTGGTGTTTTATGGTTTCCTGGCGTGAGTCGATGTGTCTCCCCGGTGATATGCCATGCTTGTTTTAGATATGATGACTTATGACGCTTCAATGCTGCCTCTTATGTGTCCATGAGGTCAGGAAGAGGTGGTGTATCCTTCCTTCCTTTCTTTCTTTCTTTCAAGAATGAGAGCGTAAGAGTAGCTCAGATGATTTCCGCTCCCAAAATGGCAGATGAGTTGTTTGGTATTCCAGTCATATTGATTCTGTAATTCAAAAATTTGTGATGGTTTCAACTGCAGGATTGAAAGGTTTGCTCATGATCACCAAGAGAGGTATTTGTTATCTACTGTTTGGATGTTCTGAGTAGGAAGCAGGCGCCCTGTTTCCTTATTCTTAGGGGGTGTGTCCCGAAAGTAATGCAAATAGAAAATCCCTCTGCAAATGGCGAATCTTACCCCAGGGGTTCTGCTCAAGCTCTTGCAACACATGAATACAGATGTCAAAGTTGCAGGTGAGCATAGATCATCGTTACTGCAAGTGGTGAGCATTGTGCCAGCACTAGCGGGCAGTGAGCTATTCCCTAATCAGGGTTTTTATCTCAAAGTGTCTGATTCTTCCCATGCAACTTACGTCTCTTTACCGGAGGAGCATGATGATCTCATTTTGAGCGATAAGATCCAATTAGGACAATTTATTCATATTGAGAGGCTCGAAGCTGCCTCACCAGTCCCAATACTTAGAGGAGTTAAGCCAATCCCAGGGAGGCATGCTTGTGTTGGTAGCCCCGAGGATATCGTGGCAACTGATTCACTCAGCTTCCTCAATAATAATCATGATCCAAGTTCTGGTTCGAAGCATTCCAACAGTGCAAAGACATTGAAAAAAGTGGGTTCAGGCAGTAGTAATGTGGGGGAGAAGGTGAGATCAACACCCAGAGGGCTGAGTAGCAGTGGTAGCAAAGATGATTTACGCTCTACGAAAACCTCCTCTCTAGCGAGGTCTAAGTCTCAGTTGTCAAAACTTCATTCGAACCTAGAATTGAAGAAGGAATCTCTACAAAAGTTGAAGCCTTCTAGTTCAAGATCTATTCCTTCTTCTCCAAGTAGCTGTTACTCGTTGCCTACATCATTTGAGAAGTTTTCAAGTGGGGTGAAGCAACAGTCTAAAATTAAGGGGTTCGATAAGGGTTCGCCTAGGTTAGGACTAACAGAAAGAGCGGCTTCTGCTAATGGATTAACTCCTACTAGAAGAGTTCCTGTGATCAAGAACATAGTTCAGGGTATTGAGCTGGGAGCAAAGGCTCTGAGGAGGAGCTGGGAAGGAAGCATGGAAGTAAAGAAGAGGGATTCCACAAAGTTGCTGCCTTCCAAACTGGATCCAAAACCTGAAGTTCGGAGTACTTCTGTGAGTATCATCACTTTTTTACTGGCTTTAGCATTTCGTATTACAGATGCTGGGTTTAGTTTGAAACTAAACACGTGCCCAAGGATAATGCAATGCACTGGCTGTGATTTCTGATCTTTTTAGTATGCAAATTAAGTCATGTTATTCTCAGTTGTTTATACTTATTTTGCCACGCCAAGAGTTTCCTTAGATTAATTATAATGAATTTGACAATGCAACTCGAATATCACTGCATCATCACTAACGTGGGTGAGTTTTCTGGAAGTTCTTAATTTATTCTGGCTTTTACTCTTATCAGTGGTACCATGTTTCCCCCCTCGTTTGGGATGTTCTAAACTTCTTTGAACTTAAATGTTGCGCTTCCCCGTTTAAATCCAATTGTATATTTGCAGGTTCCAAGGAAAAGTACGTCCAGTGAGCGTTCACTTCCTAGAGAAGATAGTAGGGGCTTTACGAATTCGTTTAAAGAAGAGAACAAAGGTCCAGTATCTGTTAAGAGAGCTGCTTTTTCTGGGATTACTGATGATCAAGAAACGATGAATAAGCCTAGGCTGTCTGTTGGAAGAAAATCTTCTGGAGAACTGGCTAATAATGGGCTTCCAGGGAACTTTGTCAAAATTCCAATACATAGTAAAAGGCTGACCGAAGGGAGTGTTTCATGGACTTCTCTTCCTTCTTCTCTTGCTAAGCTTGGGAAGGTAGAGAATTTTCAGTTTTCTCATGAAAACTAGTTAATGTGCTAACTACCCTATTTATTCATCTTCCAAACGCTTATTGTCTCAGGAAGTTATGAGGCATAGAGATGCTGCACAGACAGCAGCAATAGAGGCAATGCAGGAGGCTTGTGCTGCAGAGAGCTTGCTTCGATGTCTTAGGTAAAACAACAACCAGATCAAAACTATTACATCGTAATATAACAAAGTATGTAACAGTCAGATGATGCTTTCTTCTTGTTGTAGGATTTACTCTGAGCTAACTTTGTCAGCCAAAGAAGATAACCCTCAACCTGCTGTTGAGCTTTTCTTGGCTCTCCATTCAAGTTTGAACAATGCTCGTACAGTGGCTGATTCTCTGTCCAAAATGCTCCCCCCTGGATCAATGAATGAAAATCTCCCCGAAGAAGTACAGAAGATTACATCAGATCAACGTAAACACGCATCCATGTGGGTCCAAGCAGCATTAGCCACCAATTTATCATCCTTTGCCGTATTCACCAAGGACCAAAAAGCCTCTGCTGGAAGTAACCAGCATGTGCTTGTTCTCGAAACCCATTCAAAGAATGGTGCTACGAGACCTGAACCCAAAATCCGTCCAGTTGTTGGCTCGAAGCTAGTAGCCACAGGTGCTTTCCGCAAACAGTTTGATTCTTCTGCTGCTAGTGAAAAAGCGCAGCCCCTGCAACCACCACCAGAATGGAGCAGGGGGGGAGGACTCGACGAGGCGATGGACTTAGCCGAAGTGTTGCGGGTGGATTCCCAGAGTTGGTTCTTGGGGTTTGTGGAAAGGTTCTTGGACGCAGACGTTGACACGTCAGTGCTGTCGGATAACGGTCAAATAGCTGGGATGTTGACTCAGCTGAAGAGTGTCAATGAATGGTTAGACGGGATTGGGGCGAGCAAGGATGAAGACGATGAGACTCGACCGAGTGTTTCTTCCGAGACTGTTGATCGGCTGAGGAAGAAGATCTACGAGTACCTTCTCACGCACGTCGAATCTGCCGCTGCTGCACTTGGAGGTGGCGGTGGCAGCAGCGGCGGTGGATCACAATCGTCGCCAAAGCTTCGAGCCATAGACACGAAATCCAAAAGGTGACGGCTAATTTTATGCATTACTAATGTATGAAAACCACATCCATTTTCCCTAGACCATGAGAGTTGCGGGTTAAGGTGTGTTTTTTCCCATGCTAATCAAATGAACACGGCACCCCTTTTGACCAGGGGTTTGTGTGGTTATGTGGGATTGGCAGTGTTTGTTAATTTATCAAAGGAAGGGGGAAATTTTTTTCAAGTGTAAAGTGCTAAAAACGGCATTTGTGGTGCGCAAATTTGTGTTTGTTGGCTTCTCCTGTAATTATACCAGGCTGTTGTTGAGTAACGCCGAGCTTGTACTATAATTTCTTTGTTGTGGGGGTGAATGGATTTTTTTTGTTGTTGTTGACAAGGGTGTGAATGGATTGATGTGCAGAGAATGTTTTATTGGCTGTTCTAATCTGAAGTATGACTTGGATCTCCCTGGTTTCTCTTTGAGCGGGTACTCAGTCACTTTAATGTATAATGCAGTTAACTTCTAGGGTTGGTTAAAGTTATTGAATCATTTGGCTGGCATGATGCATGACTCATTTCTAACTTCTAAGGATCTATGTACAGACCAACAGCCTGCAGGGGATGCAGCTGATCTAATTTATTTGTTTAACATTGGATACCTCAGACTGAGGAATGAAACAAGATATAGAGTAACAAATGCACACCCCGGAACAAAGATTAAGCGGGCAAGTGACATCGCAAATCAAGAAACAAAATGAAATCTCATAAGCATGAGTCGATAACCTAAAGAGGACTCCAAAGACTGAATTTCACAAGGGATTGCTCCACCCTTAGCATCTATGGTCGAGCGATGCAAACATTAACTGATGAGTCGATGACCACACTGGCATCGTCAAGGAAAAGAACCTCAGTGAGCTTCTCCTCTTGCACGCCATGATAGCATCTCGTAGTGCTAGCATTTCCACAATCAACGGGTCATCAATATGCTGATAATGCATCGTTTGCCCCCAACAAAATGGTCCATGTCGTGTCTTTTACACCCAATTAGCCTCACCAAGTGATCATGCCTTGATTCCTGCATCAAACGAACACTGGGACTGAAAATTGCCATCTGATAGCACCTGCAGAATGCGAGGAAAGAGCCTCCAGAGTCCAGAGATCATTTCCGACAGGTGACCGTGAGGTCTGAAGCAAGGCCTCATCCACCTCCATAACATGAAACAACAACGGAAAAGCCAACACATGCGATTAGAGTTGATACTGATAGGACTCAAAGTGCACCAAGCAACAACTGTTCCAAATGTGCCAAAGGAGAGAAGCAATCTGCAAAATCAAATAGTCTGTTTCTGGAGACGGAGGTAGGGAGAGGACCTGTCTCAAGAAGAGGCAGAAAATATGATATAGGAGATAGGGGTGGCAGAACGGTTTTCGGTTAGCAGTTAACTGGACGGTTTCAACCGAACTGACCGGTTTTTGGCTAACCGAAAAATCGGTTCTTATTGCATCGGTCGGTTGGCGGTGGTTTTGGGCAGGGATTCGGCTAGCCGACTAACCGGGGTCAGAAACCGGCGGTTAACCGGCTAACTGACCCCTTCCCTTTCCCCAAAACGACCCCGCTTCAGTCCCACTAACCCTTGTCCCTAAGTGTCGACTCCCTCCTTTTCCAGTCCTCCCAAATCCATCTCCGCTCAGACAGTCCCCTTCCCCCTTCAGCCCTCCTCCTCCAGTCCTCCCAAATCCATCGCCGCTCCAGCCCTCCACCTCCACCTCGTCGCCCCGCCCATTACTGCCAAGAAGACGACAGTCAGCGCAGAGCCTCCGACGCCCTCCCCCTCCCACTCCAGCTGACCAATGCCCTCTTCCTCGTCCTCTTCTTCTCTGCCGTCTACTTCCTCCTCCCCCGCTGGAGTGACAAGATCCGCACTCAAACCCCTCTCCACGTCCTCACCTTCTCCGAAATCCTCGCCCTCCTTGCCTTCCTCGCCTCCTTCGTCTACCTCCTCGGCTTCTTCGGCATCCAATTCGTCCAGTCCTTCCTCCTCCGCCCTGACGACGTCGCTGTTGAAGGCGGATTCGCCGCCACCTCCCCCCAATCCCTAAATTGCGCAATCCCCGCCGCCGCCACTCCTGAGCTAGCCGCCGCCCCAATTGAATTATTACTTCCCCAAAACGACGAGGAGGTCGTCCAATCCGTCGTCTCCGACGCCGTACCTTCCTACTCCCTCGAATCCAAATTGGGGGACTGCAAGTGCGCCGCCGCCATCCGCCGCCGCCATCCGCCGCGAGGCCCTCCAGAGGATCACCGGCCGCTCCCTCTCCGGCCTCCCCCTTGAGGGATTCGATTACGATTCAATTGTAGGCCAGTGCGTAAAAGAGAGAGGAGAGAAGAAGAAGAAGTTTGTTTCTGCGTAAAAGAGAGAGGAGAGAAGAGGAAGAAGATAAGGAATGTGTGGCTACGATTTTTTTTTCTGTATTTCTTTCAATTTTTTTAATTTCTTAATCTTATCTAACAAGAGGTCGGTTTTTGGAGGTTACCGGTCGGTTAGGCAGCTAAACCGAACCAGCCTTCACATTTTCGGTTGCCCCGGTTAAACCGCACCTAAACCGAAAACCGGCCGGTCGGTTTGCGGCTAACCGGGGCTGTTGGGACGGTCGGTCGACGGTAGCGGTTGGCCATGTCTCGGTTTAACCGAAAACTGAGATTTCATTTTTCGGTTAAACCGAAACCGACCGGCTGCCACCCCTAATAGGAGATGGTAAGTAATGTTGTAAACCAACTAACTCCCACATTCATTTTCTCACCTGACAATGAAAGAACAAGTGTTCCTCTAATTCTCTTTCAAGTAAACGGTAAGAAACACGCTTTCTCAAATGCTTGTGATTAACGTAACCGGATAGATTAGAAAGTGAATTAGGAATTTGAGAAGGAGATTTGGGAAGTGGAGAACATAATTGGGGATTAGGGATTTAGAAGAGTTGGGAAAAGAAGGATGAGAAAGATAAACTGAATAGGATTTTGTCTATTGATTTTTAATTAATTATGATGTAATGCACCAAAGTACATTTATATAGAAAATCCCAAAACCCTAATAATGACCCTAATGCAACTCGGTCCACAATTAGCCGCTAATCCCCTACATCCAGTAATAATAATATTGATCTATCTAACCATACATATAAAGAGATTCTCGTGCACCACCCACTTAAATTACTTTTTCTTGACTCCTGCGCAAAGCACGGAAGGGCCGTGTAGTCTATTCCTTCTTTGTTTTTACTTAATTCAACGGAGCTTCTTGGTTGGGTTTAATAATTCAGACGGGCCTCTATATTTCCAGGCAGGTCCAATTTCATTTATCTTTTTATTTCAGCGGGCCTCTTGGTCTTTGAATTTTTAATTCAAACATATTCCGGGCATGTGGCGGAAAGAAAAGAGAAACATGTTCTCTAATTGGCAATTGCACTTATATATTAGACACCAAAAACTTAATAGCCGGGAGCGTTCATCTTAGGTATGAATTTTCTTCACTAACTATATTTATACTAGAGAATCATGCATCTCATCTTCATGTTTGAATCTTAAATAGTTAATTAAGGTTTTCATGTTCATGCTAAAACTCTCTCCATCATCAACTATATTGTTTAGATTATTTAGACTAATATTTTTGACAACTACATTTCTTAAAGTTCAATGCTTCAAGGATATGTTAAATATTTTTTTGTATAGAATCATCCAAACAATCAAACATTGTGTGCGTTTATGTCACATTATTGAGTTAGAAAAAAGGAAAGTCATTTTCATACCACCAAAAGGTGTGATTGACTCTCACCAGTCTCTATCTTAAGTGCAAATTAAGTTTTATAATGGTATGAGCATTGATTAACTATGAATTGTTTATAATCTCTATAACTATTTTAAACTTAATGCACATAAGTCATAGTTTAAGAGAATTGATTAATCATTGATAAAATTACCAAGAAGAAAACGTGCTCTTTAATAAAGACAATAGCGTATAGATGAAAAAATTATCAACATTCCTACCGGAAATCCGTTATAATGAGAGAAGTTTTTGTTGATGATGATGAATATAGTGAAGTTGATGATGAAGATTTTTTATAGTAAAAAGGTACTAATATTGGTCATTTGGAAAATCTACAATATCGTGTCATTAAGTTTATTATAAGTTTATATACCCTTGCATGAGTTCTATCTTTTTAATTTCACCTATACAGACACCGATTATAATGTTAGTAATCTTTCTTATGGATGCTCATTTCTATTTTTCAAGCAATTGAAAAGTTAGACTTTCTTGATGGTAAAAACTAAGAAATTGTCTTGCTATTTTAAAAAATTGATACTATTGCTCATTAATTCGCAGGACATTGGCATATAATCATGGCACAAATATAAGAAAGTGGATATTGCTGAAATTTAAATTTTAAAATTTTATTAATTTGTGTTATCATATTGCAACCGGCCAACGGGCCGGGGTACAATCTAGTATTATTAGAAACGTATGTATGTAACATAAACACGCCAGACAAAAGGTAAGGAATTTCTAAAACTCAACTTACTAGAGATTCAATAGTACGCAGAATCCGGTTCAGAACCTGCCACAGAAAGAATTTGGCCTTTGGTTGAAGCTGAAAACTCCATGTTCTCTTCAATAAGGCCGAATCTGCAGAGCTCACTCGTGCCCTCACTCCATCCCTCCTTAGGTGCCAAAGCGACGTTGTATATGCCAATTTAAAGGTGAAAACACCTGGTACCTCATAATGCCATACTAGTTTTTTGACCCGCGATTCGCAGTGGTAAGAAACTAATTATATTATAATGTCATTCACTTATTTAACAATTTAGTAGAATCAAATAATTCATAAAATTATTGGGGTAAGATACTTAAGTAGCTTCTTAATCAGTAAGAAAAACATACTTCATATGTTTGTTTGTTTTTGACACATAAGAAATAACTATCGGTCCATAAGCTCTATGCAATGTCTTAATCATTACGGAAGACTTACATAATACGTCGGTTTAGTTGATACATAAGAAATAATTCTTCTATAATCTTTATGTATTTTAATCATTAGGTAAGACTCGTGTATTATCTTTGTTTAATTGACAAATAAAAAACACACAATTAAGAAATAACTATTCTTCCATAACTTTTACGTAATGTATTTTAAAATTCACCTCTTTTTTGGATGCCCTTACATCAGCTATGTATTGTCTAAAGTGCTGAGCAGATCCTGCCACCTCCCTGTTTTCACTACATGGTCAGAGCATTTGAGCTGGGCAGTGAGGTAGTGGTCTAGTAGCACATTGATAGCAGGGGAAGGAAGGTTGAGATGGTACATTTGCATTAGCTATGTGTGGCGTGAGCGATGCTGCAGAAGTCACAATGTTGTAATACGTTCCCCCAATAGGTTGTTGGACGGATTGAAGAGGAAGTAAAGTGGATAATGGCAGCAAACCTTGGAGCTGGAATGAAGCAGAGATAGTTTTTATTTTTGCATACTGTAGTAGATA